GATATCAATCGAAGCTTCATGATCACATTTAAAGCACAGATGCTCGCATCAGCTTTTTTGAAATTATCGCCATAAATTGCTACTCAATGCGCTAAATCAGTGTTGCCTATGAGTTGCTAACGCAGATAATCCTCAGATAAATCTAGCAAAAATTTCACATGAAGTCCTAAGATATGACGGAGAAAAAATTGGCGCCGTTCTTGATCATCCCAATATTTACAATTTAATCGTAATGTCTACTTTGATTTTCTCCCATCACTCTCACTTTGGAAATGATTGTTATGTAATAACGGGTGAAACCAATGAAAAACTGCTACGTAAGGGAAGTTTTGAGAGAGGTTTCCAGCGTGGCCATATTTCCACTTGGGCTGTACAACCAGTTCGTTAATAAGCTCACTCATTTCAAAAATTTGATTTGCTCTACGCAAAACCTATGACTAAGCCATATCAATGTGACTGCTGTCTTGTTGGCTTTTATTTAAAAGCAAGATGAAAATCATGAAGTTAATAAATGATCGAATAATCAGAATTTCAAGAGGAAGTAAACGGCAATAGCAATGAGTATTAACAGGTTGGAAGTTTAGAAGCCTGGATTCGACTGATATGCATATTGTGCTGTTAAATTCCTTTGCAAAAACACATACGAAGTGCAAAGAAAAACAAGTTAAAAAAAAAAGCAAGGATTTCTTTAAATTTCGGGTAAACCAATTCCAGTGAAATCACCATTGCGAGAGATAAGGTGCAACTATATAAAAATTCAAGATTGTAATAATGTATAAAATGCAAACGAATGTAGTGGAGGGTCTAACAAATTCTCAGCAAGGGAGTACTTAGGATGATTTGTTACTAAGCGTAACGTAAGCAAATTTAACGCAATGATCTGGCCCTTTACAACGAAAGGTGAAATATAATGACCGTATAGTTTAATCTAATTCGAATAATGACTGATTACAAATTTCATAGAGAACTTACCAAAAATAGAACATAAGCCAATGGTAGGTACATAAGGATCAAAACATCTAGTGGACATCGAGAAAAGAACACTAACAGCCATTACAAAATTGAGTAGCTCCAAAAAAGGATATCTCGGATTATAGCAACATATTGGCTCATTACCATCCAGCGTTGATACAACTACAGATAGCGCATACAAACGTCAGGGCAGAAAAGGATTAATTGTAATGAGCATAGCTTATGAAAAGCTTTATAAAACGAAGAAAATGTAAGAGAAGGGAATGATGACAAAGCAAAACAAATTAAAAGTTCCGTCCTATCTGTATGCACCTACCTTGGACAAAGAACTGAAATAGCTGCTCATTGAGAGCCGCACTAACTCCAAAACATGCAAGCACTCATTCAGAGGAGCACCAACACGATAGCCGTCACCGCCAACGTGGTGACCTGTCATCGCGCGCTAATGCGCCCTAATGCAACTTTTGTTTCATTCTCAATATGTTTGCTACATTCTGAACTTTCATCTCAATCG